AGATAAGAACGTTCAGTTTACAGTAGTAGTTCGTAGTTTTGGGGGGGGAGAGCTAAACTGCACCTCCAAACAAATTAAATGTGAAACTTCTAAAGATGCAGATAATTAATATATATATTTTAGGCACTTACTTCTTCCAAGGTCCCCCCTGTTTTCAAGATAGCTATGTGGGTTGGGGTGTGTGTGAAAGGGAACTGGCTGTGCCCTGGGGGTGGAAACCCCAACAATTTTGGGGTTTTCCCCATCTTGATGACATACCAGCTAATTAATTTAGGGTCTTTCTTAAGCATTAGAGAGTGCCACAGTAAGGAATAAATGTCTTGGGGAAAGAGCTTTGATATTCTTTGTGGGCAAAAGCATTTAGCAGTCATCTTGTTTATATATCCTAGGGGCAGAGCTGATGAAAAGTAGTCCGTTGGGTGCCTAAAATATTGGAAAGGTCCAAAGAGGGCTATTTTTCCCATCTGCCTTTTTAATTTCAGCATCCTTGGAGTTTGGCAACTGGAAATGGAGAATCCAAAATCCTGGCTTCACTGTTAGATTGTACTGTACATAGTTGGGTGGAAATGAGAACTTTAGTGGAAGAACGTTTGTTTTATGTTCAGGGATCCCTTGGTTCTCCAAAAGTCATTTATCTTTCTGCAATCTGTAGTTTGGAAGATAAGATATGTTTTGCCCAGGTTCCATGTGAATTTTTCAGAGCTTCCCAGTTGGCAATGGTTGGAGGCAAAAAAGCTGTTAGACGACTTGAGATCAAAAATGTTGACTGCAGTTCCTTAGCCGCACTGCTGTACATTTGTCAATTTTTGGACAAACCCAACCGATCCAAGTAGGTGTCTAATCCAGGGAAAGGGAACATGTAGTTCTCAGTGAGATTTGGACCACAACTCTCATCAACCCAGCCTGAAAGGATGCTGGGAGGTGTAGTCAGTCAACAAGGAAGAGGGGGCATCGCCTGCTCCATAACACCTGAATCAGGACTTGTCCCATCAAGTGACTATTTCCTACCCCTTTTTGAATTTTGAAGATCTAATCTTTTGAGAAGGCATTCCCAAGGCAACATGGTCAGGTTTCAGATCCAGAGGTCTGTCTCTCAATTAAAGGGCTGGGTGAATGGATCTTGCACTTGTTGGCTATTCTGCTCAGCGTTTGTGCAGAGTGTTTGTAGCATCCCAAACTCCAGCTGGCTGTGGACCTCTGTTCAGACTGCCCCTTTTTAATTTGGCAAGGCAGAAAGAGACGTTTATTCACAGCACAGGATTTCCAAGATCTCAGCAGCCAAAATAAGCTTTAGGGGTGGTTGCTAGATTTATTTCTCCTCTCTCTCCCTCTGTCCCCTTCACTGACTTGACACCCCTTTCTACAATTTTTCTTTTCTTTTCTTATGTATATGTGTATGTATGCTTAAAGATTTAATTTGCAAATCCTGCACCCATTGGGAACATCCCCCAGGCACTGATTCACCTGTCTGGAGCCAATTTTGCTGAGCTTTTCTCAAACAAGGCCTTAAGAATGAGCATCAACAGTCGAGCCAAGAGGAAAGTGAAAACCTATTTTTTGAGAGAGAGCCAAAAGGCTGGAAAAGTCCTTTCCACAATTGTTGGAGATATTTGCCAGATAGCCTCTTTTACTCTAGCAAAGAAAAAAATGCTATAAGTAGGTCTCAATTGCTCCCACTCTGCCTGAGCATCGTTTTACTGAAGATCCTAAACCATTTTGTTACTATTCACTTGGCCTTTCTGTTTTGGAGGCATGTTGCCCACACTGCAAATGTGGCCATTTTTGTTTCCTCCAAGCCTGATGAAAAACAGTATTTTCTCAAGGTTGGTGAGAGTACAGCTTCCATACTTAGAGAAGGTGTATTCCTGATTATCAAATGCCCACAAGCAGCAAGGAGAAAAATAAAGTAATTGGTGCAAGATGTCTCACTTTAGTTCTGTGATCTACCATTCTTGGAGGATAGAGCTGGAAAATTGTTTATCTTGAGCAGAAAATCAGAATTATGAAGTGGGATGGACCCTTTGAGGTCATTTAATCTATTCCCCATCCAATGCTGGACTACTGCAACTGATCCATGACTGATAGCTGCCATTTGGCCTCTGTTTACATATTTCCATAAAGGACAGGCCACCATCTCCTGATGGTCCATATCTGATCATCCATGATCAGCTCCTTGAGCCTCCTCTACAAGATAGAAACTACAGTTCCAGGTCAGACTCTGGACGTCCCTGCACATTTCTTGTTCCTTTTTTGATAGTGTGGCCGATACAATATGAAGTTTCCCTGACTTGGGAAAGACACGGCTTGCTACTTGCTGTCTTATTCAACAGTGCCCTGTTGAGGAGCTGCATAGCTTTCCTCTTTGCAGCAAAATGCAGAATCCTGCAGAAGCTGAACCTTATAAAGCAAGCATTTAGTTTCTTCCTGCTAGTACAAGCAGTGCACCACGGGAGGAGAACAAACATTGCTGAAATGTTTGGAATGTTAGCCTCAGTGGTCACAACTGTTGTGAGGCCAGCTGTTGGCTGAATCGGTAAACAAAGGACAGATTTGTGAGAGGAGATGGACTGGTGCTGCAAGGTAAACAGAAGGTTCTTTGAGGTGGCTTGTAGCAGGATACTTCTGACCTGGAAACCTGGATAAATTAGTTCACATTTGCCCATCTAAGTCACTGTCACCATTCCCAACTGCAAGCTTCTAATGTGATTCCCATCATCTCTTTGTTTCTTTTAACTGGAGGACATAATTAGGAACTTAAGATCTTCTTGCATGCAGAACATATATTGCATCTTCAAAAATGTCCTCTCCACAACACCTTGCTTCTTCCTTTTTTTTACTCTTCTCTGTTCACTCCCCAAGAATGCTTCCTACAATTTTCCTCTCCTTTCACTGCCTTCCTTTGGGGCCTTTTTAAGACTCGGAGAAGCTCTGAGGTGAGTCAGGTCTTCCTTTGATTTCCTGTTTTGGGGTCTTCTCATTGTGTCTTGAGTCAATGTCATGTTTTCCTCCATTTCTCTTTCTCCATACATCCCCATAAATGGGAGGGCAACATATTTGAAAGGGTTCATGGAAATTCATTTGAACTGATCAGTTGAACTCCCTTAGATGAAAAAATATACATTTTATGCATTGTTTCAAATTCTTTACCATATGTTGGATGGGTTCCTTCCAGTGCCTCTGCTTTTCTTCTAAAAAGGGCTTTTCTTTAAAAGGTGAAAGAGGCAGATTTCATACAGTCACAGTGTAATCCTACCCTAAGAGTCTGGTTCCTGAGATATCTTCATGCACACCTTCTTCTCTGTCTTGTATATTAATTTCAATGCATGTGAAAATGGTGTGGAATCAAAGCCAAATACTTTCTCTCTCGCAGATTTGGAACAATGTAGTTTAAATGGACTGATACATTGGGTGAGGTGAGCCAGACAAAAAATAAATAAACGCTCTTGATTAAATCCAACAGTGTAATATTGTGTTACATTATGTTCCAAGTCAAACAGATCACAACTCTTCGTTCAATGCCAATGAATGCTAGATAATTTTAAACAATTCTTGATGATCATCAATAGAACTTTTTAAAACCCAGTTCCCATTTGGGAGTCCCCAGATTTTGGTCTACGATACTCATTGCGTTCAGGGATGACAGGAGATGTAGGAGGGCAATGAGGCAATGAGTACATAATTGGAGGATGGCTCATTCAAGGTGGTAGACCTCCCAAGGATCTCATGCAATTGTTAGGAAGGTGATGTTAATGTGAATTCTCAACATTAGATCTTCTGCAGAGCAGCTGAAGGAAAGAGGGAGATATCATTATTTTGATAGTCAAAAGCCATCTTCAGCTGAGGAAATGATGAAATGCGGCTTAGCTGGCAACCAGAGGCAAAACCATGTTAGAAGTAAGGGCAGTCTTCATTAGGGGTGTGCAGAACATTTTGAATTTAAATGTTTTGAGCTCAGAATGCTGAGCTTAAAATAGGCTGTTCTGACCATTCCAGAAGTATTTTGAGCTTGGAATGGCCTCAATTAGAGCTGAACTAGTTAAGGGCACGGGATGAAGGACCTGTGACCTTCCAAAAGCTACTGGAGGACTGTTCCCAATTGTCTCTCTAGCTTTAAAAGTGTTGCATTTCAGTGGCTCCTGTACTGTTGTAGATTTCCTGCCTTTGCCCTAATCTAAAAAGTGTCTAAACCATGCCAGGGAAAAATCACTTTGATGAGATAGTTAACCAAATGACTCATAATACAAGTCGGTAGATTTTTGCTGGGAGCTCCAGCTGATTGCATCTAGCTGGAATGTTTAATTGGCTTTGGGACTGGAGCTAAAACCCCAGTGAAGCTGGGATTCTATTTGAATTTTTAGAAAGCAAACTGGATTCCACTGATCGTATCTCGCTGCCTCTGTGGACAGCACGTGTTATTCCCGTCTCTAAGAAAGGTGACAGAATCCATTCTGGTGGCTTGGTGACCTAACAGCTTGATTGACACCGCTGATAATATGATATGCCATGTATCTGTGACAAAGACTGCTTTTTGGTAAACGATGCCGACTTCAAGAAACAGGCCAGACGTAAATCTTTCTTTCCCTTGGACAATAGATAATGCATTCACACTTGCCTGCCTGATTAAAGAAAAGATACTTGCCTGCACTCATCTGAATGTGGCCTTTGATTCTGTAGAAATTTGATAAACTCTGGGCAAAACGTCAAAACGCTAATCTTTGCTGCTGATCATCCTCTGAGTTGGCAACCTGTCTGTCAAAATTCTTTCGGAAGCTTGGAGCTGCTTTTCACTAAAATCTCTGCAAAAAGTGTAGGTGGCTCCTGGTCTTTTGCCTGCTTGTGTATAGAAGAAGAAGTCCATGGGTCATGTCTACGATGGCCACCTTTCTCCTTTCCTTCTTCCAGTTAGCTTCTGTGGATGTGTAGGTAGGGAGGTTCAGGCTGAGCAGGAAAGGGCTGTGGGAACCACGTGGATCCCTATAGGGCAGTGTTGTCCAAACTTGGCCACTTTAAGATGAATGGACTTCAACTCCCAGAATTCG